ATATGACAGGGCTGGCCCCATACAACAGTGGTTAAGCACTTTCCATAAGGAGCCAGATCCCCCATAGTTGACTGCAAATCCGCTCTCAGCCCAGGCAGCTTGAAAAACATTCCAGGTATGTGTGCATGTGTAGCCTCAATTTTGATGGAATGGAGAAATGGAGGAGAAAAAATTGCAGCATTACCCCAACCCATTGGAAGAGTTTCTCTCTCTCTCTTGCACTTGCACATATTTCTGGCACTAAAAATAAATAAAACAAAGTTGCTGTCTGACAAAAGAGTATTGTCAACCAGAAAAACTCACCTGAGATTCACTGTAGTGTTTAAATTGGGGTTTCACTGTATAGACATGATTGATTAAACCACTGGCCATAAGGCTGAACTCATCTGTAGCCCCTCTTCCCCTCCCCAGTTTGGGCTGATATCATGTGACTTAAGGCTCCAACACTATCTAATCAATTGCTTGGTATCCAGTACGGCTAGCCCCAATCTTGAGTCATCTAGTTAATGTAACTACAAGGGACCATCAGAAACAACAAAGATACTTTCATCATGTAGAAAATTCCAAGGACTTAGACCTGGGAAAAGGGAGGGGAGGATGCACTCTAGGAGGGGAGAAAGGCTAGGCAAATTCTTGATTTCACAGTATTTTTTTTAAAGAATTATTTTATTCAACTTTATTTAGTTCAATTTAACCAGAGAGGGACATAGAAGGGGGGGCCGGGAGGTGAGAAAGCAAGTTGCTAGGTCCAGGGCTGAAACCGTGGTCAGCAGAGTCCAGTGCCCTTAACCACCATGCCACCTGCTGGCCCTGATTTCACAGTCTTAATTTCAGCCTTATCTGTAATAAGAGCACTGGAAATCAGCAATATCCAGTGACAGAATTGATATGACAAAATGAAATGGTGTATAATTGAGTTCTATGCAATTGATGAAAAGAATGGGGCCACTCTGTAGGTTGGACTTCACAGTGAAATGCTGAATGCGTAAAACAATCTGTATAGCACGTTATAACTTGCATTTTGCATATATGTGTGTTTGTATATGCAGGAGCCATCTCTAGGAAGATAAGCAAGGCTTTGTAACAGAGACTGGATCCAGGGAAGAGAAATGAGTGACTAAGAGAAGGCCTTACTATTTTTTTAATCTTTACAACCTTCTGATTTTTGTACAAGGTGAGGTTCTCATGGGGCTGGCTGTTGTTCCACAGATCAAGAAGCTGAGCTAAGTAAGGAGTGAACAACTGTGGGTGAGCTCCAGGCCTCCCGCCTTGCTTGGACTTCTCAAGTATACAAAGAATCTGGATCTGGCTGCTATTTCGCTTCCAACTGCTAAATCTTGTACCAAACATTTCTTGTAGCTCACACTGTCCTAGAACTATGTAGAGAAGGGAATTCTCAGAACTTATCTCCAGCTTGACTGAATTGGCACCACACAACCCTACCACAGATGGCATGAGGTCTCTGAAAGACATTTGAACCGAGAACCTGAAGGATGAGGATTCTGCTATGCAGCCATGCCAAGATTTGGAAGAGAAACTTTCCAAAGTTTAGGAAATGGCAGTGCCAAGGCTGTGAGGCAATGGCGTAAGCTATTTTTTGATGAATAAAGGGCAAGAAAGCTAGTGTACAATGGGAGGGAAAGTGGAATGCAGTAAGACCAGAGACAAAGGCAGAGACCAGATCACATGGGGCTTCGTAGCACACAGCAGTGAGGAAGGACTTCTTTTTCCCTAAGTGCCATTGGGAAGCCAAAGGAAAGCTTTTGGCAGAGAAGTAGTAGCTGGATCTGGTTTACATATATTTTAAACTTTTCACTTTGAAATAATTTCAAACATACAAAAAAGTTGTTAATATTAGCATGAAGGGTAGCTGTAGGTCTATCCTAGAGCAAGTTGTTTCCCTGTTTAAGAGATCCTTTAGGCTGTGTGGTAGAGAATGGCTATAGTGGGCAGGAAGAATTCTCTCTGCATCTCCAGGTCTCACGTGTCTCCTGGAGCACAATGAACAGTGCCCCTGGAGCTAGACAGTGCTACTAAGTGTAGAAGTAGGAAGTGGCATGATGTTTAAGGATGCTAGACTCCCACTTGGCCTACTACGATTTGAGTACCAGGTATGGAGGCTTGCTTTCTCACTCTCTTTCTCTCTGGAAATATTAAAATAATGATAAAGTTAAATAATTCTTAAAAAAAAAAAAAAAAAAGTTTGGGACCAGCAGTTAGCGTAATGGCTATGTCACTGGACTCCCACATAGTCGACCGCGGTTCAAGTCCCAGACCTGGTCTGGTAAACTCACGCCGGGTGTGTGTGCGTGCATGCCCACGATCCAGAGAGGAGAATGGAGAAGGGATTGCGGTGTAGCCATCCCCCCTGGGGGGTGATTTCTCGCTTTCTGTCTCTCTGTCTCTGTCTGTCTGGCGAGTGCACGCGCCCTATAGCAAAAACCTCTCCAAAAAAAGAAAAAAAAAAAGTTTAAGTTAGGGAGCCAGCAGGTGGTGTGGTGGTTCGGGCTCCTACATGGCCCACCAAGGTTTGAGTCCTGGACCCGGCAGCTTGCTTTCTCACTCTCCCTACCCCTCCACCTCTCCCTAGTGAGTGTATGTGTCCTATAGTAAAATTTTTAAAATAATAAGTAAAATTAAATAAATAATCCCCCCCCCTTTTTTTTTAAAGAGTTCAAGCTACAGAGCATCCACACTTGTTTTCAGGTCTTCTTGGAAAAATAATCTCAATTCACAAATTCTCTTAGAAGGACCAGCAGATGGTACAATGGCTATGTTGCTGGACTCCCATGTAGTCAACCACGATTGAGTTCTGAACCTGGCGGCTTAAACCCACACCGGGCACATGTGTGTGCATACTTAAGATTCCAAGAGAATGGAGGAGAAGGGATTGCAGCTTGACTATAACCGCTGGGGAATGATTTCTCGCTTTCTGTCTCTTTCTGGCGAGTTCACACTCCCTATAGCAAAAAACATATAAACAAACATACAAACACAAAACAAAACAAAAACAAATTCTCATTACAAAAAAAAATACTATTATCTCTTGAAAATTGGCCTCTCACTGATAAGCTATTTCTAACAATCTCATCAGTTCTAAAAATAAAAAAAACAAAGCCTCAAAGCTTTAACATCACAGTAGCTATTTAGTATTTCACAAACGGGGTCCAGCTGGTGGCATGGTGTTAAATTACTGGATTCCACATGGTCGACTTTGTGGTTCAAGTCCTGGATTCAGTGGACTGAAAAAAATGCCAGGTGAATGTGCATATGTCCAAAATTTCAAGAAGAGAATGAGAGAAGAGGGATTACAGCATGGCCATCCCCCACCGAGGGATGATTTCTAATTTCTCTCACTTTCCCTCTCTCCGTCTCTCTCTGGCAAGTACACGTGCCCTATGGCCAAAAACAAAAACAAAAAATTATGTCACGAAGAATTTCAGATCTCCAAAGTGCTTTCAGAGAATGGAGTCTTCTGAGGGAGACATGCTGAAGAGGCTCATGTTTATGGTGACGTACAGGTTCTAGTCTTGTTACTTCAGAGTTGACCTTAGACTTGTATATCTTCTATTTTCATCACACTTGGCTTACTTTACATGAGATTATGAAAAATGTCCACAAAGCAAGCTCTTCTGCCTGGATTAACTTTCCCTCGGAGCCAGTTTCAAACACCAAAGTGTGTTGAGATCTAAGTTCAAGTTTATTTCTGATTTCAGCACAATCCCAGGTTTAATTTTTAAATCATCAGCTACAATTACCTATGTATCTTAGTCTATTATTGCACTGCTGACAGAAATACCTGAGGCTGTGGGAACTGAAAAGCACAGATGTTTAATTGGACTCACTTTTCTGATGGTTCGGAAGTCCAAGGCACTAGGCTGGCCCGCAACAAGGGAGAGGGCAAGATCTCGAGCAGAGCAGCTGTTCACCCGTTTCTGTGTCTCCTTCCTTGTGCTTATTTACCCAGCAGTCTCTCTATTTCTGTGCTCATTTCTTCTCCTTATATCCACCATAATTCAATCACAGGGGTCCTGTTCTAATCACATTCCCGCACTCCAAGGCCCCACTCTGGGACACCGTAAATGAAGTTTTTACTTAACACCTTAACAATGCAATCAAGTCCCAAGCCATGAATTTCTGGGAGACATCCAAATTCAAAAACATGACCTTTTGGGGGATGAGTCATTTTCCAAACCACCACATCATTCCTTCATTTTCACTAAAAACATATATACTTCCTAACTGCTCATTAAATCATGAGGGTGAAGTAGAAAAACTGTTATTATAAATAGTTGGGTCACCACAGAGGAGTCATTTATTCTCTGATACTCAGTTAAAGAGGAACTTGGCTATTACAGGAAGGCTTAATGATAATGAGGGTACTTTGCCTGGTGTAGTACACACTCACATTACTACACATGTCAATAAAACCAGACATCTCTGGCCTAGCTTCCGTGGCCTAAACAATGTGAGCTTGGAGCCTCATGGAAGGCCTGAGTTTAGATCCTGCAGTAACCTGAAGGGGCTGGGTACAGCAATAATCCCAGCTAATTGGGAAACTGGGACAGAGGATCAGAATAGAAAGACCTTGTTAAAAGTGTCTCTCTCTCTCTTCTCCCCTACATGCCTTCTTTCTCTCTTGAATTAAAACAAAAACAAAAACAAAAACAAAAAAAGAACGAATGAAAAACTACCATCATACTTTCTTAAGGGCAGAAATTATTCTGGGAAAAAAAAAAAAAGAGCTTCTGGACAGACCATTTATCTTAAGAAAAACATGTAAAAACATTTTTAAAAGCATTACCTGACAGAGGTAGAAAAGTATACCTTTAATGAGAGTTTGCAGTATATACATATCTTCCTGCAAGCTGCAGTGATGAATCTCCACGTAAACATTGAGAGAAAGAAGAGATACTGTATCATGACTTACGAACTATCATTTTGTTAATCGAGGACAGTTTGGGATGTTCATTAAGATGTTTTCCTTCATTTAACAATGGTTTCTCAATAACAAAATAAATTATTAGCAATTCTAACCATAAGTTAAAAAACAAGTAAAAAAAAAAAAACTTGTTCAAGTTTCATAAATGCAAACCTAGTAGATTTCAACATGTTGATTAGTTACTATGTTCTTTGTGTAAAATAACAACAAGATTTTTCCTTCCCATTTTACAAATCCACAAAATTTATGAAAAGGCTTCGCTTTCTTTTTAAGCTTAATTAATCTCAGTTGAACACAACAGACAATAACTGTGGTTATTAGTGAGACATGGTGAAAGAAAAAGGTCATGCCCATTCGGCAGATCACATAAACCTGAAACAAACCTCAGATTTTCTAGTCTTAACCTGTAAGCTCTCATTTATTAAATGTCTCTCAAGGAACTACGAGATGATTTAATGAGCAGGCTCAACTTTGGTACTTGGCCATTTTGCTAGTCACAAACATATTTGGCTTTTAAAAGAAAGCAGACTTTCTTTCCAGTGCAACTAGGTGCCAGGGAAAAACAAAGACAAAACCATCTGTTTTTCAGTTGTACTACACTATTTTAGCTATTTAAAGTAAAAGTTCGATTACCAGGTCACTGTACTGTTTTTCTTAAATATGTAGTAAGTAGATAAAAAAAAAAACTTTTTAAATAAGCTGAAGTAAATCAAAATGAAAAGGCCTGAACAACTTGATAAATAGCAACAGAGTTATTTCCGATCAGTGACTATTAAATGGGAACACTCATTTTATACAGTAGTTTCTGACAACCATTCAGGAATTCTTCAATTGGGCACTTGATATTTTATAGCTAGCACACTCAGTACTGGGGCATCTCACGCACACACAAAAATATGGCTTTATTACAAAGGATTCAAGATGGCAACTACTTAGAATCCAGTGCCAACATGGATTATAACAAATCCAGTGAGTATTTTGTTTTTCAATTATTCATAGAAAATTTAATCCTGATTAAGTATCCTTGGGCTGGAATTCATGGGTAGTTGATGACTGAAACCAACATTTATGTGAAATGCTTCTGTTAATTTAATCTGTGTATATGGCTTAATTATCATTGGGGATTCAATGTAAGAGAAATGAATTATATCAGGATTAAGATTTTAGTACTATATTACATAGTACCTTTTCCTTCTTTCTTTTTAAATACACAAAACTGTTTGTCCCTTCACTTAAGTGCTCAGATTTAAAAATCCTTTGTCCTTACAATCCATGTATTTAAATTTTATTTTCAAATACTATTTGTTAAAAAGCCTTTGCTAATCAAGCTAAAACCTAAACTGGAGCCCAAAATGATAGAAAAAAACTGGAGAATAACCCCACTTACAAATAAACAAAAGCTTATTCACTTAACTGTGAATATACTTTATAGTTTCTGAAGTAATTTCACTTTAAGTTCCTTTAAACTCCAATATGAAATGCATTTTCCTTAGAGCATAAAAAAAAGCAGTTTTTAATCAGTGCATTGTTATACTGATTTCATAACTGAACTAGTTTAGATATGTATAAGCAAGTAATCATATAACTGATTACTTTTTAGAAGACAAACAGACCTGAGTTAGCTGCTGATATAAGACGAGGCATTATAAGTGGTGAACATCTTACCAAAATATCATACTCTTCTTCACATTTATTTCCACATGAAAATTGTTTTAGCCATCTTCTAATAACACTTTTTCTGGACAGTTTATTGTTTAAGCATATTCCAAAGCATTTCATTTATTACCTCTTTCAGTTTTGGTACTGCTTAAATGCAGTTATATAAATAATATCCTCTGCTTTCATTGCTCAATTTTTCAGACCACGTGTAAAAAAAAAAAGGTCATTGTATTTGGGTCCTTATTGCACTCTTTTAACCAATTTACTTTTTCTTTCCACAAAGATCAAGTGTCAGAAATGAGGGCGACTTTTGTGTCCTGACGATATGGTTAGTGGGAGTGTGACTGAGGACAGTGAAGAGACTTCCCAGTAGAGACTGTGCGATAGGAAGAGTCTGTAGAGAATAACCATGGAAACAGACTGGCAAAGGATAACTCCTATTGTAACAACCTGAAAAGAAAAGGAGAAGAATGTTTTTACTACATGCAGAAATAGAGAAACTATATTCAATGTGTCATGAACCTCTATATGCTTTTTATAGAAAACACAGGGCTTTACACGAAGTACTACACCCTTCCTCTTCACCATGGGTACATTTATCAAAGACTTTTCTAGCAGGAAACTATAACTAATGTTCAGAACTGTAATTGTTCAAGGGGAAAGTTCCTGTTAACAGTTTATATACACTGAAGTCTGACCAATGTCTCCTAAAAGTGTGCACATTACAGCCAGGAGTTCCGTACATAGTACGAAAAACCAGGTTCCTGGCTAATTTAGTTACAAACCATGCCCTATCTGAACCTGAAGAGGACTCTAAAAGCCCTTTAGAAAATTCTCAAGTTGCTTCTCTCTTTTTGAAGACTACCTTCCTGCATGTTTACCCTTTGTCGTCTTCCAGGCTCAACAAACATTTGTACATTCAAGCACAGACCGCGCTGCTTGTAAGGGGCTCCTGGCAGGCTCTACTTTGAATGATAGAGCCATTCACCGAAGGAAGTTAGGTATCGGTGCAATCAAACTGCGGCCTACTTGAGATGGCACTCCAGTCTGTAGTCTGTTAGAGCAATTAGACTGATTTTTACAAATTTCTTTGTAATTGATTATTCACATTGTGTAGCAAAAAAAAAAAAAAAATTCTTTTATAAAAAAGGTATTACACATTTTGTAATTTAATTCATAAAATAGTATTCTGAAATAGCCTAATGACAAAAGCTATTTCCTTCACTTTGCTTATAAGCTATGTCTTTAAAATATCCCTTTATGGGACCAGCAAGTGGCATGGTGGTTAAAGCGCTGGACACTCCCACATGACCGACCATGGTTCAAGTCCTGGACCTGGTAGCTTACTAACTCACTTTCTCTCTCTCTCTCTCTCTCTGTGTGTGTCTCTCTCTGGTCAAATGAAAATAAATGAATGAATAAATAAAATTAAAATAAAATAATTATTTTTTAAAAATCCCTTTATATCTTGTACTGCCAATTTATACACTTACCAGTTAAATACTTGGTTTTCAAGTGCTATTTTAAAGAATTCGGAACTTTCTGAAGAAGAAATAGACCCCTTTCTATTTTAACATTTTCCCAATGAAGACTACATTTTCAATTAAAAAATGTTTTTGATCATGTACATTACTTACCTTATCTCTTTGGAAGTCACTAAAAATGAGAGAAATACATGCAAGACCTGGATGGGATAAAAACCACAGGATACAGCCCTGAAATAAATGAATGGTAAGTCAATTAAGCACAGCTATGTCTTTACTTTCAAAGTGTACCCGATAATAAATGTAACTAACACATTCATTTAGGTCCTGACTGATCTCGACTGGGTAGAGCTTATAGTAAAATGTATAAATAAACTTACTGTTGCTATAATGCTAATATTTTGTTTCTAGCCAAATGCATACTCTTTTAGGTATTTATAATCTTATATATATAAATCTGTTGTAAGTACACATATTATACTATAAATGCACTAATATAAGTAACAATAACAAATAAGAAAGCAAGGTACAAATGTGTATTTCTGAAAAAAAGAAAGTATAATGCATGTTCATACTCTGTCTCTCATGGAATAAAATAAATAAATAAATAAACTTGAAAAATAAATAAATAAGTTAACAAACAGTTGCTGTTAAGATGTCTGCTATGGGGACCAGTAGACGTGTAATGGTTATGTCACTGGACTACCACATAGTTGACTGCAGTTCGAGTCCCGGACCTGGTGGCTTAAAACTCACATAGGCGCATGTGTGCCCAAGATCCAAAGAGCGGAATGGAGGAGAAGGGATTGCAGCATGACCAACCCTCCTTGGGGGTGATTTCTCGCTGTCTTTCTGTCTCTCTCTGTTCTCTGGCGAGTGCAGAAGCCCTATAGCAAAAAATCTCCCTAAAAAATAAAGATGTCTAGTACGTTGAAGTTAAAGGAAAAAAAAAAAAAAGAAAAAATGTGTGTTCAGTATGCTAGTATTTCTTTTAAAATGGAGGTAAATACATATAGGAATATATTAAAAATTCTCTCAAAGGATAAAATAGGAACTAATAGTAGTAATTATATGAGAAGGTGATGATAACTGAGTAGATGGGAGAGAGGTAAGAAATACTTTCTGTTATTGAAATACTTCTGGATGCTTGACCTCACCCAAGAAGCTAAAAATATTAGTTTTGTATGTTCCAGTTCAAGAAAAAAGGTTTGGTAATGTTTTAAACATAAAAGAGGAAAATTTAGGACTTAAACACATCAAATATATATTAATTTATCAAATAAGATATACTTAATGTCTCTGAAAAATTCAAAAGCAAAGGGCATTTTCTTCCTGTTTGGCATTCAGGAGCCTGAAGCTGGTTCCTAGGGCTGCAGTAGGAGCTTCTCTCAGCCACAGGAATAAAGGAGGAACGTGGGTCTCTACCCATAGCTACCTGCAATGGTCAGAGACCACAGATGAGGCTGGGCCAACTGAACAGCATGCCAGATGCCAAGATAATGAGATATGGAGTCTCTCAATCAGAAAAGTGAAACCTTCTAGGGAGGGAAGTTTGTGTAATACTACGGCTCCAACCTCTCAATCTTTTCATTTATTGAAAGGGTATTAAAAAAAACCAATTCACTTTTAGATCTCACTAGCCTAAGAAGGTCATAGAAAGGAGCTATAAAGTGAACAGGATCTCACACGCATAGAGTGAGGACGGCTGGAACAGCAGGTACTCAGCCTTCTGGCTCCACCTGCTTATGCTCTTCACGGTTTGTTGTAAAACATGGCATACTCTGAGAAAAGTAGATTGTGGCCAATTAATAACTTGAAAAATGCAACCTGTATCCTAACTTATTTTAAAAAAAAATTTAGAATCTGATGCTAGAGAAAAAAATGTAAAATTTCTATTGATAAAGAAATTATGATGTAGGCAAAACGGGCCTGCCAAAGATTACATGGAAAATACAGTTCCTTAGGTTTGGTAGGATGGGGACTAATACCTGTATCACATAGGTTGTGAAGAGTAAATGAGTTGAAGCACAAAAAGGGACTTAAAAGTTGCACCTGGCACATTAACGAAAATTAAAAAAGAATGTTAGCATGTGTGGCTGTTTATTAACTTCCTAAAGAAACCGGAAAGAGGTTGATGATCAGTAGCCATTTTCTTCCCAAACCCGTACTTTGGCGAACGTGATGTAGAACTCCCTTTTGAGCGTACTTCTCTCCACAGCGATGATCTGATAGAGTCCGCAGCCTAAGGACAATGCCAGGCAAATCCTTAAAATGATTAGAAGGATTCCTGCTAAGTTGTGGTGTGAATGGTAGCTATGATGACTGGTATCGTCAAACTGTTCCCAAAATAGCAAAATACTCTGCAAAAAACAGTATTAAAAAAAACCATGGTTTACTCACAATAAAGTACTTTCTTCAACTCTTTTACAACAGTCCTTTAAACAAATAAACACTCCAAAAACAGTCTAAGGTCTATCAGACTACAGAGGTTATCAAATAATAAAGTGGAACAGTTTTTCTCCTTACTCTACATGAAGCTGGAAAGGAGATTTTTATCCAGTAAGGCCATACAGAAACACTTAGAGAAAAAATACTGTTGCTGTCATGATTCAAATAGACATCTATAAGGATGAAAATAAATCGAAAGGGTTAAGAGAACAAACACACGCTTACTTCTAAATCATCTCCTTGTTTCAACACCATCGTTAGAGCTCACACTGCTCCATAATCAAGCCCACTACCTCAGGGTAACTCAGTCACCTCAGTACTACTCATAATCCACAAATGTCCAGGACAGAATTGTCATTTCAGGCTTCACTCTTTTCTTGGTAACTTTTCTGGGTAAAAGTCAGCATGTTTTCAATGTTCACTGCAAGTACCCAGGGCACTGTTAATCATGCGTTATTTGTTGACCTTTCCTCCCATGTGGTTTTAACAGCAAAAAATTCAGTAAGTTCTTTCTTTATTTTAAACATAATTATTTAATTTTATTCATTATTATTATTATTTAATTTGACCAGAGAGAGGGAAAGTGAGAAAGCAAAGCTGCCAGGTCTAGGACTCGAACTGTGGTAGGCTATATGGGAGTCTAGCACTTTGACTGCCATGCCACCTGCTGGCCCTAGTAAATTCTTTATTAAGCAGCTGTTTATTGTTATTCAGTGGGAATCAGTGACCTTGTTCCCTCCAACTTTAGAAGCTATCAATAACTCAAACTACAACAATGTTTTTACTGTCTCACTTAACTGCATCTCTCTGTACTTGCTGCATTTGTCAACTCAATCTTTAACACTGAGTCTTCAGAAGCTTCTGGAAATGATCCGATACTTATTTTTTATAGGGTCTACCAACACGCTCTTACCTTCTTCATTCTCAGATCTTCACCCTAATTCTATCCCTTGCTACCATTAGCCTTTTAATCCTGCATTGCGACATTTTCTTCCTGGGCTCAATATTTGCCTGATTACTGAAACTGTTCTTCCTTTATCCCACTAAGGTGTATCCACCTGATTCCTTTTTTTTTGGAGAGTTTTTTTTTTTTTTTTTTTTTTTTTAGGGGGCGGTCACCACCCGAAACAAAGAAG